GCTGTCTCCAGATTTTTTGATGATCACCATTCTAACTGGTATGAGATGGTATCTCAATGTGGTTTTAATTTGCATTTCTCTAATGACCAGTGATGATGAGCATTTTTTCATGTTTCTTGGCCACATATATATCTTCTTTTAAAAAGTGTTCATATACTTTGCCCACTTTTGAATGGCTGTTTTTTCTTGTAAATCTGTTTCAGCTCTTTGTAAATTCTGGACATTAGCCCTTTGTCAGATGGGTAGATTGCAAAAATTTTTTCCCATTCTGTCGGTTGCCGGTTCACTCTAATGATTGTTTCTTTTGCCGTACAGAAGCTGTGGAGTTTAATTAGATCCCATTTGCCTATTTTGGCTTTTGTTGCCATTGCTTTTGGTGTTTTGGTCATGGAGTCCTTGCCTATGCCTATGTCTTAATGGTTTGCCTAGGTTTTCTTCTAGGGTTCTTATGGTGTTAGGTTTTATGTTTAAGTCTTTAATCCATCTGGAGTTAATTTTAGTGTAAGGTGTCAGGACGGGGTCCAGTTTCTGCTTTCTGCACATGGCTAGCCAGTTATCCCAACACCATTTATTAAACAGAGGGTCCTTTCCCTATTGCTTGTTTTTGTCAGGTTTATCAAAGATCAGATGGTTGTATTAATTCTGTTCCATTAGTCTATATCTCTGTTTTGGTACCAGTCCCATGCTATTATGTAGATAAATTCAATACACATCTGTTTTCTTTGTAACAGGACACAGTCAGAGACACTAGTTATTTTACCAAGTCTTTGACTAAAATAACATATTTTCAGATATGACCAGACTACTTTAAGAAATTAATGTTGACTTTATAAAGCCAATAAAAAGACCCTTGCAAGACTGGCCTGGTACTTTGTCTACACAGTTCCTTTACAAGCTTCCTGACCTGTGATACATAAAAAATGTAACTTTCTGACCACCAAGGTATTTTAGGTTACCAAAAGGAGAAAGATTCACCCAATTTGTACAGATACTACAGTCTGATGGCAAATCTCTGGCTTGGCTTAGCTTCCTGGCCTTAAAGCTTTTAGAAGTCCAATAATCCAAGATTTCTTTTTTTTTTTTTTTTTTTTTTTTTGAGACGGAGTTTCGCTCTTGTTACCCAGGCTGGAGTGCAATGGCGCGATCTCGACTCACCGCAACCTCCGCCTCCTGGGTTCAGGCAATTCTCCTGCCTCAGCCTCCTGAGTAGCTGGGATTACAGGCATGCGCCACCATGCCCAGCTAATTTTTTGTATTTTTAGTAGAGACGGGGTTTCACCATGTTGACCAGGATGGTCTCGATCTCTTGACCTCGTGATCCACCCACCTCGGCCTCCCAAACTAAGATTTCTTATGAAAAAGTTTCAACAAAACTAATCTAAGAAGAGCCTAAATGGCCAATCACTATTCTTACTACATTTTATACAAATAAGCAGGCCAAGTATAAAAAGACTAAAACTTACTTTACAAATAAATTGATCCTACTATGATTTAACTTTGGTATAAATGGGAAACTACAGAATAAAACTATGTTTCAAAGAATACTACAGCACACCTGTTTAAATTAGATTCTAGTCTTTCATTGTTTTTGTTTTTGTTATTTCTCTACAATTTAGACTAAAACCTAAATTATTTCCTGGTTACAAGTCTCCAAACTAACAGTTTCAAATTTTTCTTCCATTTTTCATTTTATATCACCAAAAGTTAAAACTGTGCTTTCCTTAAAGCCGTACAAACTGAAACTAGACAACTTAAACTTCAGGAAAAGTCACAGTTTTACAAAGAGCCTTCATGCTTACCGATATACAGACTACTCAGAAAGTTCACTTCAACACTAATTTGAACTATACAATCCAGTAAAATCTGTCAGATTGCCACTGCAATCTGAAGATACTTCAAGGAGTCTAAGAAACACTCTCTATATACTACTCCAGACATTATCCTTTGTTTTTTCTTCTGTTTTCCTAAAAACACCTCTTAATAAAGATCTGTTTGCCTTCATCATACATGGAGGCCTAGTGTATCTACAATGCCACCTCCTAAAATGGACACAACTATTTAACTAAACTAATCCATTCTCAGAACTATGATTAAAAAAGATATGGGACAATATATTTTAATTTACTCTTTTCTGCTTATATAAATGTGTTTTTCCACTTCTTTGTCTATCTCTCATGACCTCTAGCTCAAATGGCTTTTAATACATAAAACTTATTAAAGTTTTAAAGTGAGGACTGAAAGAAACTAAAATATTTTAACCCAAAATATATTTCTCTGGCCTATTTATCATAGGCCTCTAGATTAGGCCTATGAGACACAAAGTAAATTGCTACAGCGTAAAAGGCCAAAAAGAAACTTCAAAATTATTTTTCTAATAAAATGCCCTTTGAAAGAACCTTCAAAATTATATCAGCTTCTTCTGGGCCTAAGGATGAAGATAGGAAGTTGCCATAGAAAGAATTTTCTTATTATTTGAAGGGAAAAAAAATAAAATTAGGCATCATGTAACAATAAACAAGTCCAGTAGGCAACTTAGGAAAGTGTATAATAGGATCTCATTTGAATACAGAGTCTGGGGAAAAATTGGATTAATATATATAAGTTGCCCAAGGAACTTCAGAAATGAAGGGGACAGAGAATCCAACCCATGCTGCTCAAAATCAGAAGTTGGAAAACCTGTAGGTATTAATTAGGATATCCTAAGCAAGGTTGGCTATCAAGAAAAGACACTAACATCTTTAAAAAAAAAATTATCAGCAAGCACTTAAGATTCATGGTAGCTCAAAACTAAGACTGCAATTCTCAAACTTTAGTATACCTGACAATTGCCTGGAAATCTTGTTAAATATAAAGATTTCTTTTTTTTTTTTTTTTTTGCTTTGTTAGAGTTTTTTTCTTTATACAAAATTTTTCAAAATAGTTATCATGTTGATTATTATTTATTACGTTTGGGGCCACACTTAATTTTGCAGGAGGATGACTTGCCTAATGAAAATCAATGGAATAATCGATTATGGAGAAAGTTTCTTTTTAGGCACCATTTTAGAACCATTTTGTTTATTTTTTTTTTTTGGAGGTTTCAGTGGGACAGGAGAATCACAAGGAATCAGGTGTTCAGAGGAATGTATTGAGTAGAGGTGAGGAACTAGGATGTTGGAAAGTAAAAAAAGGAGAGAAGGAGAGGAAGAAAGAGGAAGAAAAAGAGGGAGAGAGAACAGGAATATTGCTGTTATCTTAGAGGAAGATTTCTAAGCTCTACTCTAGAGATCCTGACTTAGTCTATCTGGGTAGGCCTTGGAATTTCTACTTTTAACTAGTTATCCTAAGTGATTTTCCTGCCACACTGAAGAGAAAAAGGAATGCTGACCTAAGGATTTGCAGTGGCTTTTCAAGCACAAAAGGAAGCTTAAAGCCCCTTGTCAGAGGAATGGCTGAGCTAAATGGGTTATGACTGGGACGCTAATGACAGAAGCTCCACTGTGGCTTGTGAGACTTTAACCTTGCAAGGGTATCGGTGGATTCCCATCTGTCTGCAGATGCAAGCCACTGATACCCTGCACCAGTGAGAATCAAGAGCAATAGTGAACTAATCAGACATTTCAGTTTTTGCCTCCCTGTGGAGTTTGAAAGTAAAATTAATCATCCTGGAATGAGTAAATCCATGGAGTTCGTGTACTACTGTGAGGAGGAACATATATCAAAAGAAAAGTATAAACTTTATATGAACAAGAATGATTTTATTTGTATCCCATGTTGATAATGACAAAGTACACTAAGAAACTGCAGGCAAATAGGGTTACTTATTAAAATTAAACATAGACTTTCCTGCATCATCCCTCTCCGTAGCTAGAAACATGGCCTATTTCTCACATTCTTACTGCTCTTAAGCTGAAGACACAAGCCATCCACTTTGCTCTTGAAGCATTTACAAAAACCAAAATATAGCTAGAGCTAATTTGGGGCACTAAAATTATCCCAGCCAGCCCAATTCCCTGGCATATAGATTGTCTCTAGCTTCCTAAAGGAATTCACACAATTGACTTATAGCTTAATTTGGAATTCTATTCACAACAAATCATCCAATTTTATGATTTGAAATCACAGACTTTCTGGACTTTTAACTTGATCTAGTTTCTAAACTGAGATCAGATGGGCACTACTCTATCGAGACTACAAAGATAAACAGCAGAGCAGTAAAAACTTGACCTCTGAAACCCCTTCCCTCACTACTGAGTAATGGGGCATCAGAAAGGAAGTCACAAGGGTAATGTCCCTCTCTTGCCCAAATGTTAAGGAACTACCTCTCTCGGTCTTGTCTTCCTAAGGAAGCAGGCCCACTTGGCTAATTCATTTGGAATTCGGACAAGCTGGGGCCTCCCAAATCTTAAAGCACTAGAATCAGAAAGTCAGATGAAAGAGGCCTCAGGCTTCCAGCCACCAACTTTAGCTCAATATTCAAATCAACTTGGCTCTCCTGGCTGAAGACAAATTAGTCTCCCTCAAATAAAATGCATCAGGAGGAAATGAGATCACTGGAAATGTCAGACACAGCTTTCAAAAGTGAGCCATTTAAGGTTTCGTTCAGGCATAGGAAAACTCCCCTGATTAGCTTCTGGCCAGCATCCTTTCCCTATAAAACAGCCAGATCTTAGTGAGGCAGAGAACATAGCAATTCTCACTGGAGGTTACAGAGACAGGCTTATCACTACCAACCTATTAATCTGCCCTGTCAGAAACAAACCTAATTCTATTCCTTCCTCTATTTAGATAATATATTTTCCTTTTCCCATGCTCCTCAGAGCTAAGCTGCCTGCAAGTAGAGACTATGCCCTCCCTGCATTCTTAAAGACTGTTTCAGAAACTATCACCACAATTTGTCAAACTAAGACAGTAAGTGAGGAAATAACTTGGTTCTTAAGGCCATAGCCAGACTCTTATCTTAGAGAAACAATTTTCGAGTAACGCAGGTACCAAAAAGATATCAGCAATTTTCTACTTACCTTAATACATCCAACTATTGTAGTTGTAAGAGCAGAATTATACTGCGTGCAGAGCACTGTGGCATACATTAAGATAAACCTAGAATGAAGAAGGACGAGGTATAAAATCCATTTCATACTTTATAATAATCTCTAGCCAAGATAAACAATCAGTGTTGGCCAACCCAGCACATTCTAGTCACTGACCAGCTATGAATTTTCCCCACCTCACTGCTTCTTATCCATCAGCTTCAGAATTTTTAAAATTTCACTAAAGAGAAACACATTCATCTCCTTACCAAGTGTTTTCCCTTGCTGCCCTCATCAAAACCTTGAACCATCACGCGTAATCGTGAGTATTTTTATTAGCTCAGGCTTCCTACTAACACACCTAAGCCAGACAGACAGAAAGCTCAGAGCTCAGAGACCCTAAAACTCAATTGTACACCTTCCATGAGGACAATATATCCTCTGGGCTAGGAAAAAGGCAAGAGAGATCCTTAAATATGAAAGAACCCAAATTAAAGCTACTTTAACAGAGGATATAGGTTCACTTAACAACTAAGTGGCAGCAGTTGGAACGCTCTGATTTACACTGAGGCTTCTGAGCCTGACTTAGTACCAAGGCATCATGTCAACTTTATTTTGAAGCACCTGCTCACTATGTGCCAGATCCAGTCACAAATAGCAACTAAACTGACAGGCTGAGGGAAAAAAACACATTAGAAAAATACGGAGATGAGGAGAAGAGGCCTGTTTGCAGGTACCCGGTATCCTCTCGTCCTTTACATATTCTCTTCTATGAGGAAGAAAACATGGTAAGGAGGGGTCAGTCTGCCCCAAATTCAAATGCTGTCACTGCCACCTACAAACTGTGCAAATTTAAACAATTTACTTAATTGTCTGAGCTGGCTTTCTCATAGGTAAGGGCATGACACTATCTGTCGAATGGTCAGTATAGAGATAAAACTATATAGTGCATGTTGAAATATAATGGTGCTTATTAAACAGCAGGTTATCAGGTAAATTGTTTCTTTATCTTTCGAAGGTATCCACCATTCAGTAGCTAAGAGCACATTCCCAAGGGCTGTGAAACCACCTGAATCTGGAGACTTAATTATCCCAGGTTGACACACTCAGGAGATCTAAAAAGATACTGAGAAATGAGGCAGGCAAATTTCTCTAACCTATTTCTTTAGAACTCTCTACTAAGGAGGTAGCAAAGGCTTACCCCATCACACAGGAGAGGGTGAACTGCAGAAGAAAGAGGGTGTCGGCCCAGCCTTCAAACTCCATAGCCTGCGATACACAAGAAAGCATTAAATTTTAGACTAGGCCTTCAAAATCAGCTATCCCATTTTAAAGGAAATCCTTCTATGAGTCTGCCTCCAACACAGACACAGACACACACAGGTATACATTTCCCTGAATCACTCCAAGGATAGAAAGTGATGTTCAAAGAGTTCATGTATATAGAGTAGAACCAGTAAGTAGTTGCATACGATTTTCTCCCATTAAAAATGTAGCATGGGGGAGATTTTGTACTTCTCACTATTGGGGCAATTTCCTTGAAGGCACAAGCCACATCTGGCTAATCTCGGTTCTTTCAGATGGCTATTAATGTGCTAGTACTAAAGGCTTTCTCAAACATTACAACATGTTTCCTTTCCGTAACATGTGAAAGCTTAAGTACAGCCTTAGTCATACAAATTCAGCTGAGGTCTATTCAAGGAGAATTACTGTTTTAAAACAGCTGATCCTAAAAACAAGGTTATGTTGTGTTGTTACTGTTGTCTGTGTTAAGCCAAAAGGAAACAAATGAAGATAAATGGCCTGAAGGAATCATAAAGGAATGAAGATAAACTGATCATCTCATCTCTTGTCCAAGAGTAATGGATTCTCTCTCAAGTACCTAGTTGTTTTTGCAATAAGAGTTTGATAAGCAAATGTGAGAAATATTCCACCTTTTATCTCTGCCAACCTGTCCAGCTTCAACTTTTGCCACTTCCAAATAAATCTCGTAGCTCCAGGGCTCCAACAATACCAGGCTCCCTGTGGCTTATAAAACATAACATACAGTTTCTTACTTGCATGCCTTTGCCTGGAATGTCCTTCCCTCAGCATTGGTCTGACTCCTGTTGAGCCAACAAATTAAAACTCAAGGCTCCCTTTCGAGGCCTTCCCTGATCAAGTACTCCTTCCTTTGTGCCTCAGTACTCCTCTCTAGAATTCTTGCCTCTGAACTGTAAATCTTTCTACCATGTCTACAGACTGAGCTCCCTGAAGGGAGGACTCACATCACATTTATCTAATCATATTCCTAACAGTGCTTGACAGATATAGACAGTTAGTTTACAGTTCTTTATTGAGGCAGAATACATGAAAAATAAACTAATTTTAAGTGTTCAACTCAATGAGTAGTCACAAATGTATAATCATGTAATCACCCATTACAATCATGATAAAGAAATTAACTGTTTCCAAAGTTCCCTCCTCCCCATTGACAGTCTAATCACCCCTCCATTTCTAGCCCCTGGCAACCTCTGATCGACTTTTTGTTACTACAGCTTTGCTGTTCAACAATTTACTACAAGTGGAATTGTATAGCATGTACTCTTGTGTCTTCCTTCTCTTTCACTTGGCATTATGCTCCTAGGACTCATCCATGCTATCTATACATGAGTAATTCATTCATTTTTATTGCCAATTAGTATTCTATCTTATGGGTATACCATAATTTGTTTATCCAAACATCAGGTAATAGACATTTATTTGGGTTATTTCCACAAGTTATTATGGAACTTGTACCTTTGGATACAAGTCTCTCATAGACATATTTTTATTTTGGGTAAATTTTATTGGGTAAATATCTAGAAAATGGGATTGCTGGTTCATTTGGTTAAATGTATTTTTAACTTTGAAGAAACTGCCAAACTGTTTTCCAAAGTAGCTACACAATTTTGTATTCTCACCAGCACTATATGAGAGCTCGCACTGTTCTACATTCTCACCAACATTGGAACTGTTACAGTCCATTCTCATAAGTGGGTAAGTGGTATTTTGTAATTGTAATTTGCATTTCCCTAAAAGACTATCTTTTAATATGTTTCCCTAAAAGACTATCATTTAATGTGGTTCTTTGACATCAGTATTTCTTCTTTGGTGAAGGGTCTGTTTAAATCTTTTGCCAATTCTTTGTTGTGGTTGTTGAGACAGAGTCTCGCCCTGTCACCCAGGCTGGAGTGCAGTGCTGCAATCTTAGCTTACTGCAACCTCTGCCTCTCCAGTTTAAGCAATTCTCCTGCCTCAGCCTCCTGAGTAGCTGGGATTAGAGGTGTGTGACACCACACCCAGTTAATTTTTGCATTTTTAGTAGAGTCGGAGTTTCCCCAAGTTGGCCAGGCTGGTCACGAACTCCTGACTTCAAGAGATCTGCCCGCCTCGGCCTTCCAGAGTGCTGGGATTCCAGGCCTGAGCCACTGCACCTGGCCTCTTTTGCCAAATTCTTTTTCACATTATTTGTCTTATGATAGAGCTGCACAAGTTTTTAAAAATATGTTCTGAATAACAGTCCTTAATCATGCATATATTATGCTATACACACACTCATACATAAAATACAAATATTTTCTCCCTGTGTGTCACTCACCTTCCATTTTTTTTCTTTCTTTTTTTTTTTTTTGAGACAGAGTCTTACTCTGTCACCCAGGCTGGAATGCAGCGACACAATCTCGGCTCACTGCAACTTCCACCTCCTGGGTTCAAGTGATTCTCCGACCTCAACCTTCTGAGTAGCTGGGATTACAGGCACATGCCACCATGACTGGCTAATTTTCGTATTTTTTAGTAGACATGGGGTTAAGCCATGTTGGCCAGGATGCCTGTGAACGCCTGACCTCAAGTGATCTGCCTGCCTTGGCCTCCTAAAGTGCTGAAATTACAGGTGTAAGCCACCATGCCCAGCCTCACCTTGTATTTCTTAATAGTGTCTTTTGAAGTGTAAAAAATGTTAATGTTGATGTAGTCTAATATCAACATTGTCTTTTATAATTCTTGCTTACAACTTTTTAATGAAACTTGAGTGTAACCAAAAGTCCAAGATTTTCTCCTATGTTTTCTTCTAGTTTTATGGTTTTAGCTCTTACAGTTAGGTCTATGATCCTTTTAATATTAGTTTGCTAGAGCTGCCATAACAAAGGACCACAAAACTGAGTAGCTTAAATGGCAGAAATTTGTTGTCTCACAGTTCTGGAGGCTAGAAGTCCAAGATCAAAGTGTCTATAGGGTTGGCTCCTTCTAAGAACTGAGAGAGAGAATCTTTTCCTTGCCTCTCCCCTAGCTTCTAGTGGTTTGTTGGCAATCTTTGGTATTCTTTAGCTTGTAGAGATATCACCCTGATGTCTAACTTCACGTTCACATGGTGTTCTCCCTATGTGCATACCTGTGTCCTAATTTCCACCCCCCTCCCTTTTTTTTTTTTTTTTTTTAAAGACAAGGTCTAGCTTTGTCAAGCTCTTGCTTTGTCAACCAGTCTGGAGTACAGTGGCATGATCATTCTTCACAGCAACCTTGAACTCAGGGGTTCAAATAATTCTCCCACCTCAGCCTCCTGAATAGCTAGGACTATAGGTATGCACCACCACACCTGGCTAATATATTTTAAATTCTTTTGTAGAGATGCGGTCTTGCTTTATTGTCCAGGTTGGTCTCAAACTTCTGGCCTCAAGCAATCCTTCCACTTTGGCCTCCCAAAGCACCAGAATTATAGGTGTGAGCCACCCTGCTGGTCCTTGATTTTTCTTTGTAATAAGAACATCAATTAGAAACCCACCCAACTCCAGTATAACCTGATCCTAATTACACCTCAATTATCCGATTTTGAAATAAGATTATATTGTGAGGTACTAGGGGTTAGGACTTCAATATATGAATCTGGAAGGGGAGGGACACAATTTAACCTATAACACTTTCCAGATTAATGTTTGTATATTCCACAAGGTCAGAGTCTAGGTTCACTACTTTGCATACAGCTGTCAAATTGTTCTAGCAACATTTGTTGAAGACATTATCTTTTCTTCATTGATTTATTTTCATATCTTTGACAAAAATGACTGCCCGCATGGTATATTTCTATTTCTAGATTCTCTGTTCTGTTTCACTGGTGTGTCTACGCTTAATCCAATATCACAGTGTCTTGATTACTGAAGCTTTATAAGAAGTGTTGAAATTGAGTAGGCTATATCCTCTAAAACCATTCTTTTTGAAAACTGATTTGACTACATTAAGTCCTTCACAATTCCACATAAATATTAAAATCTGCTTGTCAATTTCTACAAAAATCTTGCAATACAATTGGGGTGGTGTTGAATCTATAGATGAATTTGGTAAGAACTAACAAATTAATATCAAACTAATTCATAAACATAAAAATCACTTATTTCAGTCTTTTAAAATTTATCTCTCTAGTGTTTTGTAGTTTTTAGCATACAGATAACATATTTTGTAAATTTATCCCCAAGTACTTTATAATCTGAAGGTATTATAAATAGTATTTTTTACTTAGCTTTCAAGTGTTCACTGCTGTTGTGTGGAACTATTGTTAATTTTTGCATACTGACCTTGTACTGTGCAACCTTATTAATTAGTTCCAATGACTTTTTTCTAGACTATTTAAGATTTTCTACAGATAGCAGAAAATCTGTATTTATTTTTAATATCTGTGTATATTTTAAAAATCTGAGTATATTTTTAATATATACAGTTTTGCTTCTTCCTTTCTATTCTATATTATACAGATGAAGTTCTCCAACGTAACACTGAATAGAACACTATATGAGCGCAGACATCCTCACCTTGTTCTCAAATCTTCGCAAAAAAGTATTCAGTCTTTCACCGTTAAATATGTTAGCAATAGATTCTTTGGTAGATGTCCTTTATTACACTAAGAAAGTTCCCTTCTATTCCTAGTTTATTGAGAATTCTATACTCATGAGTGGGTCTCACATTTTGTCAAATAGGTTTTCTGCATCTATTGAGAATAGTTCTACTATATTCTTATTAATATGGTAAATTGCACTGATCAAATCTTAACCTTAATTACTGAGATAAACACAATGTGGTCAACATATATTGTCCTTTTAATATATTGCGGGATTTTTTTGTACTGTAATTTCTCCCCCCTTATAATGTTGTCGTCAGATTTTGGCAGGAGGTAATCCTAGCCATATAAAATCAACAGGGAAGTGTTCTATCTTCTATTTTCTAGAAAGAATTTATATATAATTATTATCATTTCTTTC